TCCACCCGCGCCGAAATCTGACCAGAAGCGGCTGAATCAGGACCTGGGGCAGAGCAGCTGGGGTGCGGGTACTGCCGGGTTGGTCCAGTAGTGCCCAGAGTGGCGCTGCAGGACCAATCGGCAGCGCCCCAGCTGCTCTGCCCCAGGGTCCAAAACCCCAACACCATTTTGTACGCAGCTGCATGTTGATACAGCCGTGGCACTAAAAGGTGGGTAATGTAGCAGCTGTCACAGCTCTTTTCTTGACAAAATACTTCTACCTCCAATAAGCAGCATTCACTTTCTCAGCTCGGGAGCTCTCCTTCTGAAAATGCAATATTCACACTGGCACTTGCGGTAAAACTTTAGTCTTTCAGGGTGGGTGGGTGGGTGGGTTTGTTTGTTTGTTTGTTTGTTTTTTGAACTCCTCTGAACAGCTGAAGTTTTGTCAGTGTAGACTTTGCCTACATCTTTTTTTCCCCTTTGTTTACTCGTGGGACAATAAATTGAGGAGGCACTGCAGTCTATTTGCATTCTAAACTATAATACTGTAGGTGATGAGAATAATGAAGGAAACCTATGTTCAAAGAGTTGTGAATTACAGTTCTGTAAATGCTCTTTGTTCCCTTTAGCTTGGAGTTCCATCACTGATAGGACTTGTTCTACAGTTATCTGCTGAAAGTCTATGACTGGCATTCCAGCAGTTGGGTTTCAGTTTGCTAAGTAGCTATGGTTGGTTGAGATAAGTCAATGGTGCACACAGATTTTACCACATATGCTAGCAGTTACAATGATGTTCTTCCATTATGGATTTAAATTTTGAAATCAAAGCCACCAGTTTTTCCTCCCCTGCCATTGACAGTTTGAACAAAAACCCCAACACCATTTACTTTATGTACCCCTTGTGGTCCCATCATTTTTAACCTGAGCTTTTGTTCCACTGTATCTGTTGTTTCTTATTCTTGCACTTGCCCTGGTAAAAGACTAGAAACCCAAATAATGGGGTTCATATGCATAATTGATTTAGAGTTGAATGTACTATTAACAGGGCTTGATGAACCGCGGTGAAAGCTGCTCGCCAGCCCAGCACTGCACATGCTCAAGAGCCGCATTGTGCATGCGCAGTTCTCCATCTCCCACATCTTAATTTGTCAATGTATTTTGTGTGTCATGTAAATCTTAGATTCTGAGGTGGTTTGTTGGTACAGAGCCTATCATACAGGCCCCTGATCCCTTTTGGGGATTATTGAACACTACAGTATAAATTAATATTTTTTTATTGAAAGAATGTAATTTATTTTCTGTTTAGAGGCATTATGGCTTTAGTAATAAAGAGGGACTAACAATCAAGAGTGCCAGAGTTCTAATCCTAGATTTGGTTTTGTTTTATTTCTTTACTGAGGGGTGGCTTACCAATATGGGAAGGTTTTTCATTATAATCTAAGGTGTGGATTTGAAGTGATCTAACTATATCTTATAACTCTGTATATAGACATTCTTAATTCAGTAGTAGTGCATTTTTTCCAGTTACATTTATGTTGCTTGGGAAGAACCTTCCCATTAGCATACATAGAATCTTCACTGACATGCTACTGTGGCACAGTTATGCTGCTGTAGCAATTTAAATGTAGACAAGCCCTTATGCGCGTTAGTACAGGTCAGATCTCCCTTGTCTGGTACCCTCGGGACCTGAGTGATCCCAAACAATGGAGTTTGCCGGACAAGAGAGGGTCAAGGCTCCCTACCTGGTTGTAGGCTCTGCTTCCAGGTGAGGCTGCGCTGCCTGCTGCTGCTTCCAGTCCCCCACCATACCAGCCCCAGATAGGGGCCGACTCCACTGTCTCCAGCCCCAGCAGGGGCTGTGCCTCCCTTCCTCTCAGCAAGGGCCAGGGCTGTGCGTTGAGCTGACTTCAGCCCCAACCGGGGCTGAGCTCCCTGCTGCCAGCCCCAGCTGGGACTGCATTCTTGCATCATGCCAGCCCCTACTGAGGCTGTGCTTCTCACTGCGCCAGCGCCTCTGGGGTTGTGCTCCTAGCCACCAGCCCTGCTAGCTCTAGCCCTGGTTGGGGCTGTGCTCCTTGCAGCCAGCTGTCTGTTCTGCATTGGCCCCGCTGGGGCTGGGCTCCCCACTACCAGCCCAGCCCTGGTTGTGTTTCTGAATCCTGCCAGACCTTGGATGTTGCTGGACCAGAGAGTCCCAGATTTTAGAGCTTCAACCTGTAGTCCCATTGATTTCAGGGGAAGTGTTCATGATAATGAAGTTAATCATGTTCAGCAGTAACACAATGCAAGAAGTGTCTGCATAAAAGGAAGGTGTGTGCATATCTAGTCAAGAGAAGCATATACAAGAGTTTGGAATGCCTTGTTTTATAGCATGCAAAAAGAAATAGATCAATAACTGTAGGTTTTTCTTGTTCTCTAGGAGTTGAAAAATATAGTAAAAAGTATTTGCAAATGAGAAAAGAATCCATGGAATGGACCCCAGGTAATAATGTAAATTGCAATAGTGAAAATCTGGATAGATCTTGTATAATCTATACGTTTTCTTAAATGCCAGGTTTCTCCATTTTAAAACAATGCCAGTCAAATGGCATTTGCAACCTTACTAAATGTTGCATTTCTTGTGGAGGCCTAGATAAATGCTTTACCTCTGCAAACTTGACAAACCTGTGTTTTGAGCTGCCTGGAAAAATAAATGTGGCTTTTTCCTTTTATTTGCAACTCAGTTTCTCTGGCTGCGGATTAACATAAGAAATTTAGTCAATGAAATTTTGGTATTGGTGACCTGAAGATTTGAGGTTTAGAATGGAAAGGGCATGTCAGCTTTATCTTCATAGCTTCATTACTGCTAACTATTAATGTGTAAAAAATTAAAGGTTACTTGAGCCACTTATGTCTGAACTTCAGTTGCTTTTTCAGGGCAGAAACTCTCTTTTGTTATATGGTCCTGATTCTGTAAATCACTATGACATAATTTCAAGTATATGTGTTGATTTTAGTGGGACTAGTTGCATATCAAAATTTTGAGCCTGTGTTTGCAGCATTAGAGCCTACATTAATTCTGCACCAAGCTCCTTTGGGAACTAATATAATACAAATAAATAATAATTCCTGTGTATTAAAATGATTTTCTTATGCAGATTGGAGAAGGCTCCCAAGAGAGATGAAGCCAAGGATAAAGACCAAAAAAGGTACCTGCTGTAGTTTTAAGGAACCATTCAGTACCTAGCAGTTAGGTGTAAAGAGACAGTTGTTTGAGCTGGTTGAAGATAAAACTGAAAATAATTTTTAAAACATTTTTATTAGCTTTTTTGGTCATTTGTTTTAAATATCATTTGACTGGTGTATTTATTATTTTATTTATAGGATGGTTTCAAAACAAGCAAAGTCAAATTTTGATGTTTTAAGAAAATAATTGAACTTTAATAGAGTTGATGTTTCTGCTTTTTGTACTAATATGTCTTTGAACACTGATGGGGTAGCACTGAGTGAGTTAAAAAATATTGGTATTCTTTTGCTATTGCTTTCAGAAGTTTGCAAACATCTTTAACCATTGTTTACCCACACTCCATTATTTGTTTTCCTGCTTGTGATTTGGTTGGTTCTTCTCTTTAAGTTTTTGTATGTGATTTAATGTAACTTCTGGGTTTTTTTCCCCCATTTTTCCTTTTCTGTTGATTTTCAGTTCTCTCTGGCAGAATTGTAAACCAGATCCTTCAACAGTAGTTAGAGCTGGTATTGATTGATCTTAAAGAGAAAGGAGTTTATTTTATGATATTTTGTAGTGTAAATTATATTTTTCAGTGTTCCCTGATATGCATGACTTTTATTCTGATTTTCTCTAGAGAACTATTGTTTTGTTGATGTGAAGCAACCCTTTGACTGGTACCTACATGTCTGCTGTGTATAATTATTTACTTTCATTACCCCTTTGTCCAAGTCTTTAATGTGTCATCTTTCAGTTCAAGGATAAAATAGAACACATAAAAGTGAATGTGAGGTAGTCATGGAGACTGGCACAGCTGGAAGCTTTGTTCCTTTTAAGAGCCTCTTTCAGAAGCCTGGTACTGAAGGTAGAGTGCAAGCATTCTACTGGAAATTAAAATCTTATTGTCAGAATCACCAAAGAAGAAACCAGTTTAGAGCTGATGTTCCAAGTGTAATTAGTGTTGCATTTATACAGACTGAGCCGGTAATTAGCTCTCTCACATCCTAAGAAAATCAGCTGCTGCTTTGTTCCTTTGCCTAAGGGACTTCATATGATGACCATAAACATTAGGCTCAGAGTCACTGCCTATTTAGAATCATTTTTGCCATTAATTTCACATCAAAACTGACCATTTTCTCTCTTTAGTTTCAAAAGTCAGTAGAATAGTTTAACTTCTGAGAGCATAAGAAAGATACAGGTCCCTTTAACATTTTTTTGGAAACAGTACCAATGTTAGTATAGAATCTTTTCAGAAAACATATACTGCAGGGCTACGTCTAGACTGGCATGATTTTCCAGAAATGCTTTTAACGGAAAAGATTTCCGTTAAAAGCATTTTCAGAACAGAGTGTCGAGATTGGCACGGACGCTTTTCCGCAAAAAAGCCCTGATCGCCATTTTCACAATCGGGGCTTTTTTGCGGAAAACAAATCTGAGCTGTCTACACTGGTCCTTTTGCGCAAAAGTTTTGCGCAAAAGGACTTTCGCCCGAACGGGAGCAGCATAGTATTTCCACAAGAACACTGACAATCTTACATGAGATTGTCAGTGCTTCTGTGGAAATTCAAGCGGCCAGTGTAGACAACTGGCAAGTTTTTCTGGAAAAGTGGCTGATTTTCCGGAAAAACTGGCCAGTCTAGACACAGCTCAGAGGTTTGTAGTGGTCACTAATGCATAAGTACATTACATCATCTTGGCATATTCTGATAATTGTAATCTAAATAATCAAGTCAAATGTGTGTGTTTTTTGGTGGAAGGTAGTAGTTTTGGATTGGGTTTTTTTTTTTTCCTCTCTTGGTTCAAATCAATTTTTTGATTTTGGAATCCTACTAAGGATGCAAAATCTCATTTAATTGGTGAACTGGTTAAACATGTTGTTTAATCAGTTAACAGATTAAAAGGGGAGTGGGCTGAAGTGGGCAGGAGTGGCGCCTAACTGCAGGCAGGAACAGCCCCTGCCTACAGGGAGCCCGCTGTGGCCAGAGACTGTTCCGGATACGGAAGAAGCTCCCTCCTGCGGGGCACCCTGGCTTGCCATGGACAGGGCTGTTCCAGATAACTGGAGCAGACCCTGTACACGGCAGGCTCCCTGTGGAGCTGGAGCAGTCCCCTACTTGTGGCAGGCAGGGAGCTGCTCCAGCCCCCACTGGTTAAACATCCACATCCCTACATCCAAACCAACTTGTTTTGTTCATACTAACTGCACATAGTTCTGGGAGAGACTTTTACATCTGGATAATAATATAGCCATAGTTAAAGGGCTAGTTGCAACTCTTGTTTTCTCTCTTGTCTCTGTGCACCCATCATGTTTTAGGCTTCATGCCTTTACCTCCCATGAATGGACTTCTGCAGTTCTGCCACTTTAGATTATGCCCTTTGCTATATATATGCTGTGTTTCAACTATGCTTACCCAGGAGGTACAACTGAATTTGACATCTGTCCTTCTGGAAGTTGTGGCTGGTGTATATAGTAACTGCCTCCAACACTTATCCGGAGAATTTCTTTTTAAACTGCTATAGTCCTTTGATCTTCTCGTTCCCCAGCCTTTCCTTTAGTGGTATTATTTTTTTCACAACCTTCAAGAGTTTTTTGGAAAAGTGGTTTATATTAAGCCATTTTGTTTCCTTTCTGTTTCTTTCTAATTGTGCTCTATAAAACTAAAATCTAAAACAGTATATTCAGAAACAAGCATAATCAGGTCAATACACAGTTCATAAATTATTATATAGCAGCTCTGCTTGCATCAAAGATGTACTATGTTGGATTGTTAGAGTTAAGCTAAAAATAATATTTCCTTGTTGCTGGTCTTGTGGGGATGTAAAATCCCATTTAATTGGTTAACCAGTTAAACACCTTGTGTAACTGGTTAATGGATTGAAAAGGAGGAGCTGAGGGGCCACTCCATCCTGGCCAGAGAAGTCCCTGCCTGTGACCCCTCCTGCAGCAAGCGGCGCTGCTCCAGATGAGTTAAGTGGCCCTTGTCTATGGGGAATGCACGCCATGGAGCTGCAGCAGCTTCCTGACCGCAGCAGCCAAGTAGCTGCTCCATCCTCCACTGGTTAACCGGTTAAACATTCACATCCCTACTGTCTATACAAAGCATTCCAGTGAACAGAAGCATTGTCACCAGCAAATGCTTCCTACATAACAGAATCTATATCTTTCTGTCAGTCTTTAATCTTTTTCTCAAAAGCTAGTCTATATAAAAAAAATCAGGTTTTATTCCAGTGTACTTGAAAACCACACTCCCTTCAACACTTTATTATTTTCCTATTTTTATCGTTCAATAACTGAAGAGTAAGTCTTGTAATTTTTATGTTGTAATGGGAAGTTATGCTGTTGTCTTGTATAAAACAAAAGAATTTAATCCCTAGTACAAGTGCAAATTCCAGCTCCTTCTCTACTACGGCACTATGACTGCCATCTCTATAATTTTACAGTTTGGCTATTGTAAGTTATCACATGAAGAGGAATTAATGCTACAGCCCCATTTGAGAAATCCTTGTGTAATGGAGTAAAGCAGAGGATTTGGGATCCAAAGATCGAGTTATGTTCCTGGCTTCTCGATCCATAGACATCTTACTGTTTTTGGAAAGTTTGCATTTCTGAAAATTAGGGCCTGAACTGCTTAATTTCTATTTTGCCATCCCCAAAAATGGAACTCTCTTAAGAGTTGTTATTCTACAAAAAGAAATGCTTTTACAATGATGTAGTTTGCAACACTGGAGTTTTTAAAGAGCAGGTTAGACAAAAACCTGTCAGGGCTGATGTTGATGCTACGTGGTCCCAGCATGAGTGCAGGCAACTGGACTTAATAACATCTTGTGATCTCTTCCATTTCTAGTATTCTATGATTCTATTACATAGCTGGGTTTAAAACAAAGTCTGCATACCTACATAGAAATAAAAGCTCATTCTTTTGTGGAGTTTGGCTTTATTAACAAAGAATGAAATAAAGTAAAAGGTCAGGCCTTCTCTACAGCCTTTTACCAAGGATTTATGTGTCAGGACTGCTTAGCCAATATCCTATTTCTTCTTAAAGAGACAACTCTACTTCAGTTATATCCATATAATATGCAACCTGGTGTCAGCAGAAGCCACTGTGCCTTTTCTCAGATAGATCAACAGCTGTTAAGATGGCAGGATATTTGAAGATGAGGACTACTGAACTGCTACAAATACCTGCTATGATCTTAAAGTTACATATTCTGAATAAGAATAAATGATAGGTTTCTGATATCTTTAAGATGATGGAACATGGCAATGAAATATTTTCTTCTGTACTTTCTTAACCAGCTTTGAATATGTTTGAAAATTATTTGACTGAAGCTCAGTATCACAATTTGGACAAAAGTCTATTCAAAGTTGAGTTTCAGATCTGCCTTAATTAGAAAAAAATGCATCATTTACATAAATTGGACTGTTGCAATTCAGTGGAGGATAAAGGATTTGCAAGTGTAAAGCAAGGATATAGCACAGATGTTAATAGTGCTGTAACCTCTAGTAGTGAATAAAGAGTATTATCTATGTAGGAATTCAGAAAGTACATTAGATAACTTATTATTTTACTTCAGCAGGTGGCAAAACGAAAAAGGCAAAAGTTGCCACACCTAAAAGTAATGTGGATTTGTTGAAAAAAATTGAGGTAAGACCTACTTGATGTAAAGATGCAGCTTCTCTGTATAGCTTCTGTTGTGTAATGCAAGCTGCAGAAAGATAATTCAATAGCTGTTATATCTCAATCACCCTGCATAGGGTGGGACATCTGACACTTAAGTCATTTATTTCTCTAGCCTTGTATTGCCTTGCTGACACACAACTGTATGGTGTTTGAAGAGATGGGATGAGGACTGCCTCTCATTTACCAAACTCTGGTGATTTCCCTCTATAAACTGCTGCTTTTTGGCCTTTTGAGCAAGATGTCTGACTGCTCATTTTTACGGGGGGCAATGTGGCAATAGGGAGAATTGGGGTGCTGTGAAGAGAGCAGAGAGAACTTGGTTCAGGACTAATGTCCCTTTTAATTTTTTCCATCATGGAAGAATACATTTTGTTGTTTGCACTGAAGTATGTATGGATGTGTACCAGCAATAGAAACACATGCTGCCGGCTGTAGACACTCTGCTAATCAGCTGGGCAGCATTTGATTCTCTCGTGGGTGTCCGCCCAAGCATTCAGCTTACAGGGAACACTGTTGAAGAGCTACCACCACCAGGAGAGAGAGGTCTGTCAGTGCTCACCCAATCTACCAATGTTGCAAATTAAACCAATAAGGAGAGTTGAGAAGAAAGGAAGTGTGGTGGGGGACATTTGGAACAATGGCTGGACAAATTGGAAGGAAATTTTAACCATAATCATGAAAGTATGTAACTATGTGTTGTACGTAGGGACGTGAATGAGCAACTGGTCAAACGGTTACCCAATAAACATCACCCTTAACCGGTGATGCTTGCCGGGTAATAGTTAACTGGTACCCAGGAGCAGCCTTGCCAGGCCCCCCAGTGCAGGGAACCAGGAGCTGTGGTGACAGTGGAGGTCTCGAGCAGCTGTGCTGTAGCAATCCCTCTCTGAAGTGGAGGCTGCTCTAGGCTGACCTCAGCCGGTCCAGGGAGTGGAGGGGTGTGCTCCAGCCCTGATGTTAAGAGGCTGAGAGGCAGAGTTGCCCTGTGTATCTTTTTCCTTGTCTGACTTAGTACAGAAGCACTTTGGAGCAGGTGTTATGTAGTGTTCTTTGTCTTATAATGCACAGTGTTTGCTTGCACATATAATTACCGTTTTGCCCTAAGATAATGGGAAAGAGAATTCAGCACTGGAGTACTGCACAAGATGTGCTAAAACATAATGGTGAGCATTTGATCTAATAAGTCCTATGAAACTCTTGGCATTTGGTAAGTAACATAATTGCCTGCTATGTCTATACCATTGTTTGCTTAGTTGCCTTATTAGTTGCAATACAACAAAACCGAACTCTGCATTTTATATATTGATAGTGTGCTGGGTATGTTGTTGGTAGAACATGTTAAAGAGTCTAACTTGTGACAGGAGTTGGAAAAGAAAGGTGACGAAGAAAAATCTGATGAGGAAAAAGAGAAAGAAAAAGACAAAGAGGGGGGTGAAGAAGAAGGAGAAGAAGAAGAAGCAAATGAACAAGAATATGATGAAGAGGAACATGAAGAGGTACTCGTTCCTTTTCTAGCTGTACCGTCAGGACCTGACTGGTCCCGAATGAGAGAATTTGCTGGACCAGGGGACGTGTCCCTTGCCACCTGCCCAGAGCCAGACCCTATTTGTCAGAGGTAAAAATGGAGACAAAAATGATGACTGAAATGAAGTGTGCCTGCAGTGAAGCCTAATATAGGTTGGACACTCCCCAACCCCTGGACCGGGGGATGAGTCTCCTGCCACCGGCCAAGAGCCAGATGGCCTCCTGCCTCTGGCCCCCTCTACTCCCTCCCTAGCCAGGCTGTAGGTCATGCTGCCACTGCCCCCTGACTTCGAGCTACCATAGGCAGCTGGTGTTCTCCAGTCCTAGCACTAGCCTTGAGCTGTTGCAGATGACCATGTTTCTCCAGCTCTGCGCTGCTGCGGGCAGCTAAAGTTCTTTAACCCCCAGCTCCTTGCTGTTGTGGGAGGCTGGGCTTCTTTGGCCCCATACTGAGTGGGCGACTAAGATTCCCTGGCCCCACACTGCTGCGTTCTGCCGGGCTTCTCCCATTCCCAGTTCTGTGCTGCTGCAGGTGACCAGGTTTCCCTGGCTGGGTGCTGCCGCGTGCTGCTGGCTTTCTATGGCCCCCAGCCCTGAGCTGCCACAGGTGGCTGAGGCTCTCCCGTCTCCCAGCTCCATGCTGCTGTAGGCCGCTGGGGTTCTACAGCCCAAGCACCAGCACTGCTGTGGGGCTCCTCCATGGGCTGTTGTCTCTCCTGCCATTAAGCTCCTGGACCAGAGTCTCCTGCCAGACCATGGATATTGCCAAACCAGAGAGTGACTGATTTCAGAGGTGCATCCTGCAATTTAAAAACAAACAAACAAAAAACACTTGATACATAAAATTTCTTACCCTAACAGCAGTTCTAATGATCTTTTATCACAAGCTGTGTTGCCTTCCAACTTGGGCCTGATCCTTCAGATCCAGGTGGTTGTAACTGACTTCTTATATGGTAAAACAGGGGTGTCCTTGAGTCTGGCTGCCCCCTCTGTTGTCTGGTTCCCTGCCTATATGTAGCTTTTGCCTAAGGCAGCAATCCTTTATGTTCAGTTTAAACTTTTTCACACTTCCCATAAACAAGTACATTATCCAAAATGGGCTCCAACATCTGGTGACCCGGCCATGGCTACGTTTACACTACAAGGTTTTTGTGTAAAAACGGCGTTTTTTGCACAAAAACCCGCAGAGCGTCCACACCTCAAGCACGTTTTTGTGCAAGAAAATCTACAGTCAATCGACAGAACAGCGGGCTTTTTGCGGTGTAGGAATACCTCCTTCTATGAGGCATAACTCCTTTTTGCGCTACAGCTCTTGCGCAAAAAGGTATGTGTGGATGCTCCACAGGGGTGTCTTGTACAAAAAGAGCCTATTCAAAAAAGCACAGGTTCTCTGATGGCCATTCTGTGAATGGCCATCAGAGCGTTCTTGCGCAAGAGCGTCCATGCAGTGTGGACGCTCTCTTGTGCAAAAGCGATGCACTTTGAGGTGTGGATGTGCTTTATGCGCAATAAGTTTTTGGTCAAGAACTCTTCTGCAAAAGACTTCCTGTGCAAAAACACTGCAGTGTAGATGTAGCCCATATGTCTTGTATGATCACCCATTGCTCACACTTAGAGGAAAAGCAAGACTCTTCACAAATAATTATCCCAAGTACCGGGCCATTAAGTTCTTTGCGTATTGCTAATAGCCCTCACTTAGCACATCTAGATTAGTAAACAGATTTAGACTTCATATATCTAACTTCAAATACAAGAGTGATACATGCAGACAAATTGAATATACACATTCATCAAATTATAATATTTCTAGTGATATGTTACATGAAATATTTTGCATAAGAAATATTCTGATTATGCATATTCATATTTCTAAGCATATTTCCAAAAAGAATATGAAATGCACCATCAAAAAAATCAAAGACAGTTTTTCATAACATGCTTCAAATTACTTGTCCCTGTTTCCCAAAGTCATGGTGGTTGTTGGCATCTGAAAACAGAAGATTTAAAAAAAAAAAAAAAAAACCATGAAAGAAGATCCAGATTGTATTTCGGGCTGCACTGGAGTGTGAACACCAAATGGTTTGTTACCTTCCATAACTGTAGCTCCTCCAGGAAGAAAGTGATAGAGGCACCATACATCTGTCTGTGTATAAACAATCAAAGTTGAAATGTCCCAAAATGTAGTCTCTCATCAAACTAAGAAAGGAGGGTATATCCCAGCACGTTCTTCTTTCCGAATAGTACTGTATTTTCCTGATTAACGTTATGAAGCAATTTGCCTTATTTAATAACTGCACATTTTAATAATTGTCTTATCTACATCAGTGGTAAAGTATTTTGATCCATGTTATTTTCATTTAGGAAAACGACTACATTGCTTCATATTTTGAAGATGGTGATGATTTTGGTGCTGGCAGTGATGACAATATGGATGAAGCAACCTATTAGTTATTTGTATTAGATTGTGTCCTACCCTGGCCTTCTACATCCACTACAACATTTGCACCCAGTTGTAGATGGACTGAGCCCTCTTGATTCTTGATGCAGCTACATGGAGTTGGAATGCTGAGTTCACCCTCAGATGAAAGGGCAATCTTTTCCATTTTTGTGTACCTGGGTTGAAATATGGGAGACCTAGCTGCCATATTCCATTCTTCTCAAATACTTTGGAGCCCAGTATTTATCACTGCAAGGTTCTCTAGACCTCCCAGATAGGGAGTAGCATATATGACTTTGTATTACCTCTACGGCACTTGGGGAAAAAAATGCATTTTGACTGAATTGTGCCTAAGCAGTTGCACTTCACTACATTCTATGCATGAAGGGGATCAACTTCCGACTGAAGTTGGTAGCAAAACTTATATTGACTTATGTGAAACGGGGATGTGATCCTTCCTGAACACAAGCTGTTCCTACTTACCTGCTGACTTTCTAATAGAATTTATATAATTTCTGTATTCAGGGGATCAAAATATAAATGAACATTGAGCACTTTCATGAACAAACTAATCTAAAAGTACTTTGGTACCATGGCCTAACAAGGTAAGGAGATAATTTCGAAAGGCTCTTGCATTCTAATCAACAAATTTTCATAATTCATCACTTTGACAAATAGGGAGCATCTTTCTAACCAGTGCTTGCTGGGTGTGAGGAGACTTAATGAGATGATGGGCGACGTGTGCGAAGGGCACATGCTCCCAAATGCCACAGATGAGAGGGACACAGGCTAGCTGGTAGCTGGCAGGGCCAGAGTCCTTGGGCATCTGGGGGAAATCGACAGGGATCCTGGTTCCTGCTGCTGGAGTCTGTCCCCCTTCACCCCACACACACTGGCAGTGATGTGGGAAGTGAAGCAATGCAGCTGGAAGAGCAGAGCAAGCTGGGACTGCATAACAGTTTCCCCCTCTGCTGCTGAAGATCTGGACCTCCAACTTCACTAGTCCACCGGGCCTCATTGCTGAGGCAAGGCAGGAGCAGAGCAAGGGCAAAGAAGAGAGCAGGAACAGGGAAGAAGGCAGAGCAGAGGTGAGCCCATGTGAGATAACATTGTGTTTCATTAATTACTTTGTACTCAGAGAGGGGTCTGGGGCTAATAAATAGTTTCATTCATTTAGGGAGGTTTTGTTTCTGAGATTGAGTAAAGGAGTGGGAAGCTGGGAAATCATTATTTTGGCTCTTCTCTCTAGCCTTGAATAAGCCCTTTCCTATCTCTGCATCAGTTTCTCCATCTATTAATGGGGAAAATACTACTTCCTACCTCATAGTTCTGTTGTGAGAGTCAGTGTTTGTAAAAATGCTAGTTATGTAAATGTGAAATATTGGTTTTATTTAATTACTTCCCAATATAGCCAAAAATACAAAAGACGGGTTTAAAATAAAAAAAATAGACTGTAAAAGACAGATACATATAATAGAAGAGTAATATGCTAATGTTTACTGATAGGGTGGTGAAAACAATACCATGAAATCTATAAATATTCTATATTTGAGGATGAATATGTTGTGATTACAATCCTATTACAGTAATCTTGAGATTATGTTATAATGGTAGGTACATTTTCAGGTATCTCTAATATTTTTGTGTACCTAAGCACCTTAAAATAAGTCTAATTTTTTTAATGTTTTGTTTAAATTCACTCCAAATGAATAGAAAGCACTGAATCCTAAAATCTCAGCATAAACTGAAACGATCAGTCTGTTTGTTTATGGCCTTTGATGCCTTTTTGAAGTAGCCGCAGGAGCTATCTTCATAAAAAGAAAAACGTGGTTTTATAGAATGAAATTAGATTGCTTTTCTGTCAATCTGCAAGGAAACTTAAAGCTTACTCTTCTTGTTTTTGTTTCCTTTATACTGCTGTTTTTCCTCTGAAGTACTCACAGCTAGACTCACAACCCTGACTGAAATGGTGAAGATAAAACTAAAACAAAATTAACAAACTATTTTAGCTGATTTAAAGATTGTTGGGAGCTTTAGATTTTACATTTTAATTTAAAATTTAATATATAGGAATTAAAGGGGAAAACAAACTTTTTCCTTTAGAATTATTTATCTGGAAAATATCACTTTTACACTGGAAAAGGCTCTCTGACCTATGCTTTTTGTTGTCCCTGTTCAAACTGAAACCTGTGCTAGTTGATCATATTGGTCCTTTCTTCTTTGTTTCAGTAATTCCACTAGCTGGTCAATTAAAATGTGTTCTCATTCAAGGAAATGTTAAGTTTTTTAAAAAAATTATCTATATAAAGTTTGTTGTTTGATGGTTGGTGCACACATTTACCAAACAATACTTTATTTCAGTGCTAACTGGATTCTGAAAGAGAGAGAGAAAATACACACACAAGTATTTACCTAGCCGAATGGTTGTGTAACTTGGGACATGACTGTATTTTTTTCCTGTGTTAATTAAACTGTTCTGATAAACAAAATGTGAAGCAATTCCAAAGAATGAGAAAAGTAAATACAATGCAAGGCACACCTCAATCAAATTAATATATACATTTATTTTTAAATGTTAAATTGCTACGTATGAAGATATAGCAAAACAATGTATAATGACATATTTCTGTAATATAAAATAGTTTGCTTAATGCAACAAAAATTTACTCGTCATTAATTAGGACTTTATGTTGAAGTTTATTTTCTTATAAATAATAATGCGGAGTTGAAGTCTAAAGTTTGTGGAGTTTTAATTTTTTTATAGTATGGTCTGCACACACACTGCATTTATGCACACTAGATTCCTCTGCATGCTTATGGTAATTTCTTTCCAGTGTTTTCTCTGCTTGTCCTTGCATGTGGGCTCCTGCTGCAACTCAGGGAGAGAGAAGCTCTACTATAATTAAAAACACCATGTTTGGAATACTCCACAAGTTTAGCTGGTAGCTGTAGCTAATATAATAAACACAAAAAATACAACTAGATGGAGCTGCTGTAAAGTGAGTGCGTAATTGGTTGGAAAATGTTCTCAGAGTAATTATTAGTGGTTCACAGTTGAGCTGGAAAGGTATATTGAGTGAGGTCCTGTAGGGATCAGTTCTGTTCAATACTTTCATCAATGATTTAAATAATGGCATGAGTACACTTATTAAGACTATGGAGGATTCTAAGCTGGGAGGGGTTGCAAGTGCTTTGGAGAATAGGATTGTAATTCAGAATGATCTGGAGAACTGGTCTGAAATAGGATGAAATTCAATAAGGACAAATGCAAAGTACTCCACTTAGGAACAAATTGTTCCTTCCTCTTTGTAACAACTAAGTTGCGTGCACACAAAATGGGAAAAAACTGCCTAGGAAGTAGTACTGCAGAAAGGGATCTTAAGATAATGGATCACAAGCTAACTATGAGTAAACAATGTAATACTTTTTTTTAACCAAATAGTTCTGGCATGTATTAGCACAACACCAGGGCTACGTCTAGACTGGCATGATTTTCCGCAAATGCTTTTAACGGAAAAGTTTTCTGTTAAAAGCATTTGCGGAAAAGAGCGTCTAGATTGGCATGGACGCTTTTCCGCAAAAGCACTTCTTGCGGAAAAGTGTCCGTACCAATCTAGACGTGCTTTTGCGCAAAAGAGCCCCGATCACCATTTTTGCCATCGGGGCTTTTTTGCGCAAATCTGAGCTGTCTACACTGGCCCTTTTGCGCAAAGCTTCTAATAAGAAATTAGAGACGTAGAGACTTAGGGACTTTTGCCCGAACGGGAGCAACATAGTATTTCCGCAAGAAGCACTGATTTCTTACATGAGATCATCAGTGTTCTTGTGGAAATTCAAGCAACCAGTGTAGACAGCCGGCAAGTTTTTCCGCAAAAGCAGCTGCTTTTGCGGAAAAGCTTGCCACTCTAGACACAACCAAGAAGTAATTCTTCTACTCTATTCCATGGTGATTAAGGCTCAGCTCTATTGCACCCAGTTTTGGGGACCACACTTCAGGAAAGATGTGAACAAACTGGAGACAGTCCAGGGAAGAGCAGTAGCAACAACAAAATAAAAGTCTAGAAAACAAGACCTATGAGAGAAGATTGGAGGGGTGGGGGGATGGAGTGGTTTAGTCTGGAGAAGACAGAGGAAAAATATTTTTGAAAAAATATGGGGGGGGGGAGAATCAAGGGGACAATTGCCCAGGGGCCTGAGTGATTTAATAGGCCCTGGGGGGTCGCAGTTGCTGCCTGCTCTGGGGAAAACCACAACACTATCTCTTGATTCAAAGCCACTTTTGATATGTCCCATGCAGGTTCTGGGAAAGGGGTACTGAGTCCAGGAACCCAAGAGGCATATAAAAAAATATTTGAATCAAGAGATACTGCTGTGGCTTTCCCCAGAGTAGATAGGTTGGGTTCAGGCAAGGGAGGTATGGTGTGGTGTGGCTGCTCATGGGCTCATCCGAGTGGAGGGGGAGAGGAGGGAGGGAGAGAGACAAGGCTAATGTGGTCTCAAGCTCAGCTGGTAGGATGGGGGACATCTGAGCCTTCTTCAGGTGAAGGCAGGAGACCTGTGGCCCCAGGGAGAGAAGAGGAGGCAGCACTGATTTCTGCCCTGGGACCCAGAATTGCTGGTGGTGGGCCTGGTTGCTACACATTTTCTCCTTCTTTGTTCTCCTTAACCTCTGAGGCTAGGAGAAGAAACAATGGGCTTAAATTGCAGTAAGGGTCATTTAGGTTGGAAATCAGAAAAAACTAGTGGATAAGCACTGGAATATATTACCCAGGGAGGTTGTGAAATCATCTTCATTGGAGATTTTTAAGAGCCAGTAGGATGAGACTGGCAGGGGTGGCTTAAATAATATTTAGTTCTGCCATGACTGCAGGGGACTTAACTAGATGAGCTCTTAAGGGTCCTTGCAGTCATATGATTCTATTAAGTTAGACTGCTATAGAATAATCATGTTAGCAATTACTTTTAAGTAAAATGTGCAGAAGTTACTGCAGATTTGTATCAAACAGTCAAAGATTACAGAATGAGGAAATAGTGACAGAGTGCAATCAGAAGAGAGAATAAACAGGAAAGACAAATCCCAGAAAACCACTTTATTTCATAGTCCAGCATGAGTCAGTAAGATTTAACATGTTCAGAAATGACTTTCCAAACAAAAACAAAAAAAAACCCACTATGCATAATTGGCCAAGAGAAAGAATAGGGAATAGCTCCCTCCTGAGGCAGCAGCTGAGCTTCTTCAGCTAGCTTTTCTGGCGTTTCAAACTTCAACCCTCCCATGTCTAGATAATCCTTTCTGCAGGTAAGCCCATCTCCACAGATAGTTAAGACCCGAATGGACCATTATGATTTAGTGTGCTCTCCTTCGTAGGCCATGGAACCTAATCCAGTAATTACTAGACCAAGCCAATAGCTTCTGTTTGAGCTGTAGCATAACATCTAGGACAGGGGCCTGCAATCTTTTTGCATTCGGGACCTCTGCACCCAATAAAAGGGGTCCAGAAAAATTGAGGAAAAAAAAAAGCGTGGCCCTTTTAATTGCCACTCCGCTCCTGCCACTCTCCCCACCCCTGCCCCATGTACAGGCACTGACTGGGAAAAGAAAATACCTGCTGGCCCGGATCAAGTTGCTGCTACCGCCCCAGCAGACAGTCCCAACCTGCTGGTTGCGTACCACTGTTCTAGAATATAACAGCCCCCAACTTAGAGTAACTTATCTTGTGCTTAAATTTTTAGCTAGCAGGAGCAGTCTAGGAGGAAGGTAATTGAGGGCCAGAACTACCAGTTCCAGACTGCCAGTAACCTAGAATCAGACCAGTGTTGAACATAAAGACACATTGGAGAGAGTACTTGAAATTGCATTTATATAAATGTGTGCGTTCAGAATGTGGAAAACGATGAGATGTAATGTTACAGGAAGATCCCTCCCCTACATACACTCTGCTTAGGCAAGTTCAAGTCACCAAGACTTATGGGCTACTGCTAGACTGGCATGATTTTCTGCAAGTGCTTTTAACAGAAAAGTTTTTCTGTTAAAAGCATTTGCAGAAAAGAGCGTCTAGATTGGCACGGACGCTTTTGCGCAAAAGCACTTTTTGCGGAAAAGCATCCATGCCAATCTAGATGTGGTTTTGCGCAAGAAAGCCCCGATCGCCATTTTCGCCCTCGAGGCTTTTTTGTGCAAAACAGTTTTCAGCTGTCTACACTGACCCTTTTGTGCAAAAGCATTTCCGGAAAAGGGCTTTTGCCTGATTGGGATCATCAAAGCATTTGCGTAAGAAGCACTGATTTCGGACAGTAAAACATCAGTGCTTTTGCGCAAAATCAAGCGGCCAGTGTAGACAGCTGGCAAGTTTTTCTGCGGAAAAACTTGCCAGTCTAGATGCAGCAATGTAGTTTACTGAAAGCAATATGGTTGTATTTTTCAGGGGGTCCTGTTGATCAATGAAAATACCTGCTCTGTGTGTGTGTGTGTGTGTGTGTGTGTTTTTTTTTTTACAGCAGACACTTTTATTAGAATACTCAGAGTTCCCAAAAATATGAAGTAAAAGGAGCAAAGGTTTAATAAGAGGCTTACATCCTCAGTACTGCATTGTTTCACTAATTACATTTTGATCCTGTATAAAATACTTTGTTATACAAAGACCATTTGTGGTAGTGTACTCCAAAATATAGCAATTTAAATAAAGTATTTACATATGCTAACAGTACAATATGCACTTAGATTAAAAATTGACTTCCTGAGCAAACACAGTTTTGTATTTAAATCTAAAGCATGATTCTTCTCTTGAATGCACCATGTAATAAATTGCTTTACAATTCTAACATCACTGTTAAAACAATTTTGACAGGAATCTGGCTTTACCACTTCACCTCTAACTATCAAATGTAAATTTGTGCTCGTTGCAATAATCTAGTTATTTACACCACAGTTAAATAGCTGATAAGATAATGCAGTGTGTGTTCTATGGTAGATTGGAAAAGAGACTGCAATAGATTGAGACTGCTCAAAGAGAAGCAAGCTGAAAACTGTATTAACAGGACTCCCATATTCATGGAAACACTGTCAAACTCTGGTAAAATTAACCTTCTGCTCTTAAAAATGCTGTTATATAAGCCATTGTTCAAAAGAACAATATTTTTAAAATATTTCTTCAGAGGTGACTAAGATATGCCTTTGCTGTAGTACACATTATCTTAGGAAGAATTGACAATAAGTCACAAGTCTTCTCAGACTTAAACCCTCCCCAAATGTGACTTAAATGTAAGATATAGCTGAACATAGGCTCAATATATAATGCAACACAACACAAGTAGCATTGTCTCTTTACCCGTAGTTTAACAATAGAGAACCTTTTCTGATTCCAAATCAAGAGTTGACCAGATCTGACATTATAAACTATTACTGAACTATTAATTTAATATTTTGTTTTCTCATCTGTGTACGAGTCAGATATTGCATACTAGTTATTTTTAGGATCTTCTGAATAATCTCAAACAAGCTAATTTATTGAGCTGAACAAGATGAAGTTATCTTGGGCTTCTTATTGTCATAAAAGGACCAATCTCTGACAGAGTTAACGTTTTGTAGTTCTAAAACTACTAGTGGCATAGGGGACAAGATGTAATTAAGGCAAGCAGTAAGATTACAGTTCTGTGCTCTAAATATATTTAGGTTATTCTATGCTGAAAGAGTTCCTGATCTTACATGGATATGATTTTTACCTAAAGTACCTTCAAAGCAATGTTGAATTCTTAGATGAAAGCAACCTCAACTATTTCGAAACTAGCTGCTTAATGTTTTGGCCATTGAAGCACAGTGGCTTGTATTTCTGTAAATTTCTAAAACAAATGTTAAATAACTCCTATTTGTATAACTAATTTAGTTCTCTCTCAAATTGTGCATGACCATCTTCTTCTGAGAGCTGCCACTTTATACAAATATTTCAGAATAGCCCCAAAATAAAAATCCACAGGACCAAAGTATACTTCCACCTGCCATCAAATTTTAGATCACTTTAAAATGCAACTTTTGTAGTTGTCAAGTTTTACAACTTTTAAATAAATATAGCCAGTGAACCATGTTTACCTCATTTAACAAGTTGTTTGCCCTACTTAATCTATATTTCATTAGAATTTAAAAACCGAGAAAGTCCACAAATATTGCATCTTACAAATGTTTCTATTTCTCAGAATCACTTTGTTTATACTATACCAAGGGTGGGCAATTTTTAATGGGGGGCCACTCAAGACTAAGTGGTAGTAAGTGGTCAAGGGCTGCACTTTCTGTGGAGGGGATATGGGGTCTGGGACAGCGAGTGGGGTGTAAAAGGGAGTTTGGGACAGAGGACTGGGGTGCAGGAGGAAGTGTGGGATCTGTGATGGAACTGACCTGGAGGAGGTGGGGAGAGGATTTGGGTGGTAGCCTGGGCAAAAAGTTCAGGGGAGAAAAGGTGAGGGGTATCAGACAGGCTCTAGCTGGGAGCAGTAGCAGCTTGAGGCCTGCTGCAGCAGCTGGTGCCCCAGGTGGAACATGCGATCAGTGCCCCTTCCTGCAGGGCCATCAATAGACTGACATCATCGGCGGGCACCCCAAGCGCCCGTGACATCATCATTAGGTGCCCCAGGCGGCAGCACCCTATCCAGCGGCTGAGTCTGTCTATAGCCATGGGCCACCCCTGGCTGGGAGACATTCATCTAAGCAGCTCTGCTCCAGCACAGGGAAGGAGACTTCATTCGCTGTCCTTGCCTTCAGCCAAGTTTCTCAGCTCCTATTGACTAGAAACTGGCTAATGGAAGCTGGAGGATTTTGGTAGGGGATGGGGACAGCACACAAAGCTTTCTCCTCTCTGCCTAGACCGCATAGCACTTAGCACCTGCTGTTTAAAGCAGCTGCTCCCCCCTCTGTAGTAAGGGTGTTGGAGAGGCGGTCACAGACCAAATCCAGCTGCTTGGTGGGCTGCATCCAGCCCACTAGCTGGCGCTTGCCCACCTCTGTACTATACACTTGGTAAAAATTCTGTTTAAATATAATGGAGTATTTTTCCACAGGCTGTGGTAGCAAGAGAGCTTACTCATATCCTCATATGGAGGATAGCAGTGAGAACCTTGCTTAAAAGGGCAAAAAGGATGGGATTTAGTGTAAATTATAAGCAGTATCTTAAATCAGATTTTAAAACATTCATATAAAGGAATATACAACTACCTCCCCTTTCCAATTTAAAGAAAATTTAGTAAGGTTAAGACCTATTTCTCTAGCTGAAACTTTTAGATGCCACAGGGTTTCCCTTTGAAGTGTTGTAGGAATGAATTGGAGAAACTGGATGCAGCTAACACCCACCTACATGCGCCTTCAGACACCTGAAAACACCAGTTATATTTCCTTAATGCAAAACAAAAAACAAGGGGGGGGGGGGGGGAAAGAGAAACATGGAAGTAAGTGCCAGACCCCTTGAATTGTTTTCTTATACAAGTAGTTGAACAGAAAAAGGCATGTTATTTAGTCCATTTCTAGTTATGCAAATGTAAGCAGCTAATTATTGCTTAGGACAAGGACTTCTGTCTCAACAACTGGATTGTGTTTAAGTGTCAGAGCATAGCCCACTTAAAGTGACCTCCAGTGAGCCTCTGCAGTATTTATAAGTCTATTTGACTGGACTGTAGACAGAAAATGAAACTGGGCCTGAACAGTAGGCCTTACTTTTAGGAAAGGAAGTTTGCTTGTCCTCAAAAAGAAAATTTAAACTGATGGTGTAATGACTGTCAAAAAATCTCCATCTTGACTACGGGGGGTGGGGGTGGAGAGGTAGTCCCAAAAAAGCAGCTTTTGGGGAAAAAAGCTGCAGCCACCACTATGTAAATGAAGTGTGGGAAATTCAAATCCCCACTTCATTTACGATTTCAATATGTCTAATTTACATATCTATCTAAAAGAATGTAGTTTAGACGTACTCTCAGTGTTGTTCATTATGAAGTGGGAAGTCGATTTCTTCTGTTGATAGTCATTAAGATAGCCCCTCTAGCATTTACAATTCAATATTATAAACAAAGCATGAAAATATTTTTAAAATGTAACATGCTGAAACAGATGCTTTCAGGGACTCAATTTCTCATATTTGTCAGACCTGCAGCTTAACAGCAATCGTTAAACAAACCAGTTTATATTTCAATAGAAGGGTCTGTAAAGCCTTTCAAAAACATGTTTCCATACACCTGTATACTATGATCATCATCTCACATTAAACCTGCTTGAAAGTTTAAATGACCCACAGAATTATCTCCAATGTAAATATGGCATGTTCCAACAACAATTTAAATAAAGGAAGCAAAGCATCCTTGTACTTTAATACTGTCCATGAAGAAGGAATGTATACATCAGTAAAATCTATTCTCTGCATTCCCGATGCATTTTGCATTATACACTGTTTTTCTTCATCTGAAAGTTATGTTATATGCTTATGAACAACAGTATTCTGAGGCTTTCCATTATAATGCTGATGTCCCTCCTCACTCTCAATGTTCATAATGTTTGCTGGATTTATTCCATTTTCAATTTGTTTTGGTTGTGATGGTGGTGTGACTGGGGTGAGTGAGTGGGTAGATTCCATTGTAGAATGGTGACTAACGTCCACTTTCATTAAAACCTCATAATATAGGAGATAAAAAACTGGAGTTACAATGCCAATCACTAACATTATCACTACTGCTGACCACCATCCTATACCCCAGTCTGCTCCATAATAGGGATCTTTCCGCTTTTTGGTTTTAGCATCAGGTTCAAAGCATATCTGTTTTGCAGATAAGGCAGAGACAACTTCATTAAGATTCTCCCTTTTTGTATCATTACACTTAACTATCTGTTCTATATCTCGATCCACCTCTTTCAAGAAGTTGCCAACTGTCTCATTACAGGAAAATGAATCAGAAGCTGGTGACGTTTCTTGGAATTCTGGGGAATACTGAGTGGAAGATGAAGGTCTCGAAACTTGTTTGCCTTTTGGAGAGCAATGTGTTTCAGTTAAGACGCTAAACTTTTTCACTGGAATTTTGATACATCTCAGCGCAAAAAAATCCTGGTCAGTGATGAGATTGTTAACCCTTTTGATGTCTGCAACCTGAAAAAAAATTTAAACAAAGCAATGTAGTTTAAACATTAAAATGTGAAGAGTTCTTCCCTCCCTGAGCAATAGTATGCACCCCTTTAAAAAAATAATTTCATATTATAAATGGAACCGAGTAAAAAATAATTTGATAGGAGATAGGGAATAGAGTCCCAAATATAAACAATTTTTTTTTCGAAACAGACAAACTGAAGTACAAAGTGGATGGCAGGAATTATATTCCAATGCAAATAATCACTGACTCCTCTGAATTCAAGGGAAAAAGTCACTTAATCTGCCTCTCACCTCTACACAAAAGAGATAATACTCCTCCCTCCCTTTTAGGAAATTATGACCATTAGCCTATGAAGTGTTTTGCCAGTATAGATACTATTACTGTAAAGTGTGATTTGATTTTTGTACAGCTTCCATTAAAGTTCTTACTTTTAAATATCACTCTTTCATCTAGTCTAGTTCTTCTGTCTCTACCTCTGCTTTACCACATGCAGCAACAAATATAACTCAAGGCATTCAATCTTCCTATCCCTCCTCTCAGAAACAGAAGAGTTTGCTACAAATTTAAGAGCTCCACTTACTAAGTCTTGTAAAAATAATTCCAGCACAGGTTTTATTTCCAACAGCTACAAAAAGCAGGCTTATGAATGAGTGGGGAAATAATGGTTAGAAAAGGGAGCAATTAAAAATAACTTCAGTTAAATCAAGTATTCAATTACTTAACATGTTTAAGCTTTTCATTTTACAAGATGAAGTTTAGTCAAGCTTTGATTCTGCAGGCAGGCTGTCTTACTGCCCCACCAATCCCAAATAAAGAACAGAAGCAAAACATATGAGAACAAGTAAATACGGTTTTTTTCACCCAAGTTCTTGCAATTTTTTGCAACTACAGTCAAAATAGCTAAAGGATTAAAAGTTTACATTTTTTCCATGAAAAAAGCCATACAAGAACACCTCTGAGCATTCCTTAGAAAACTGTTTAGTAAACAAGTTATGAGCTTTTGAAAACCATATAAGCAAATGTGGCTCAGTGATTGTATGCAAGTTTGACTGCTCTAGTCAAGAAGGTTACCACACTAGTACAGCTAGTTTCTCCCTCCATATATAAAAAATATTTTCCTGCAAGCAACAGTGACGTCATTGATGCGCTGGATCCATTTTGCGGGGAAGTGTGCACACTGCTGTGTGGAGGGGAGCAGCATGCGCTTCCCTGCATGACAGATCTAGCACAGAGCCTTGAGGTGCTCTCTTCTCCTCCCCTCCCCCACACAGGAAGTGGGCACAGTAGGTGGCAGCCCAAGCGCCCAGCCCAACGCAGGCGGAGGCAATTTGTGTTGGGGCCCCAGAACCAGGGAGTAGAAGTGGAGCTGGAGACAGCTGCCACAGCCCCTACCCTCCTGCAGAGGAGCCAGAAGCCAGAGGGGATCCCAAGCTACCCCAAGAAGGGACCAGGGGAACCCCAAGCTATGGTCCCTGCTTCCCCTTTTGACTCTGCACAGGCTGGGGAGACAGAGTGATCTGAGGCAGGCAGTGGCGGTTTCCTCATTGGAGCAGCAGGGAAAGCCTCTGGTGCCTGGAAGCCGCGTGCAGCACAAAAAGTAGTAAGTGCCCTCCCCATCTCCTCATACCAAACCCTTAGCCTCCAGTGCCTCACACACCCCCAGCCCACTCCTGCCCCCTTCTCCTCCAGCTGGACACCATGCCCCCTCCCCTCTGGGGGCACACCCTGCCCCCAGCCCCTTCCTACTTCCTCCCCTCTGGCCACAAACCCTGCCCAATCCGGGCCCAGCCCCCATCTAGCCAGTATCCTGTCCCTGGCTCCAATCCTGGGACAGGCCTTGCGCTCCAGTCCTCATCTGGCTGCAGGTAGGGCTGGTGGAAGCCCCCCCTCCTGCTACAACATGAGTAGCAGGGGAGGCCCCAATCCAGCGGTGGTGGACAGATCATAGCAAGCAGGTGACTACTAAAAGAGAAGTGTACTGAAGACTCCCCTTAGCTGAGACAAGAAGTTTGCAGAAGCCCTTGGCTCTATACTACAAGAGTGCCAAGAAGTTCAACACACTGATGGGGAGAGGGAGTGTGAATCTCATGCAAATCAGTATTTCAAAACTGGCGATGGAACAAAATTAGGAGAACCTAATGCTAACATAAGAACATTCTCTCAGCCCTCCCACAGTACACAGAATGGGAGTTTAATGTTGTCTGGCCAAATACCTCCCAGTGATGTTATTTACATGTGTAGATACAGAGGGAGCAATATGGGGTAGCAGCAGCCCCTGTCCTGCTTTTTTGGGGGGGGAAGGGGGGAAGAGAGAGAGAAGAGAAGGAGAAGAGCGACTGAGATCCCAAACTGGAACTGAGCTTAGCTGGGTTGCCTGCCCACCTGGCTCTGAATGCACAGCCACAGAAGGGGTAGAGTCCCAAACCTGGCATGAGCCAGGCTGCCAGCTAGCCTTTTAAAATATTTACGTGGGGGGGGAGGGAGGGAAAAGTGAAAAGAGGAAAATGATGTGTGTAGTCTATAGCATTAACCTGTAAGCTTTTGCTCATTGTTAATCGCTTAATCAACTACACTATTACATCCCTAGTACAGACTGCAGATACACTCACCTTCTCAAGACATGAAACATTTGTTTCCCCATCCACAGATACTAATATTTGGTAGCATTTCTTTATTCTTAGTTTTATTAGCCACCCCATTTGGCATTTCTTTGACTTGAACTTTCTTAATACACATTTTAGTAATTATTTTAATACCTTTGTAGTGCCACACATTATAACTTATTGTCAAGCCCTGCAGACTTTCAAGTGTGTTGTTTGTATTGTGGGCTAAGGGAAAAGTTGTATCTGACTAAATTGCTCAGCCACAGACTATTTGAATGTGTGTTAATTCTCACACACACACACACACACAAGAAAGCACGGTTAGATTGTGTGAAAAGCCCCACCACAGAGTTCCTTTCGCAAACCTGAAGAGTGATGCGCCCCTTTCACCCACAGAAGTTGAAACAAAAACGATACTATCGCATCTCACCCAGCTTGTCAGCCTTAACTTGAGCATTGCCTGATTTCTGAGGGCTTAACCGAGCCAGGTAACATTCGCGTTCTGTGGTTTCCGCAAGAAGCAGCATATTCCACTGCGCCGGGGCAGCTGGGGGCGGGGAGGGCAAAACGAGGTTTTTGGGGGCCGCTCGGTTAGCACACGAGACTCACCGAGCAGCTGTACTGCAGCGCAATCGCGTTCAAAGTCTCGCCTTCCTGGATGTCCTTTGTTAGCAGCACAATATCATCCAGCCGGTCTCTCGAGGTGCTTCGCCGGACCTTCTCTCGCCCCCTGGGGCGCAGCTCGGACACCTCCCCGTCCTCCTCCTGCGCCTCCCCGTCCGCCTGGACCCCG